AGCTATTTAAAAATCTGTGTCCCCCTTCTTCGTATTTTTTGGTTTGGGTTGCAGAGGAAGGGGGAGGGCCGAGAAGCTGAATAGCCCCTGCTGCTCTCAGTGGGGTCTCCGCACCAAGAGGTTCTTGTGTTAACCACTTCACTGTTTTGTATTGATCTTATCTGTTCTTGTTAAAAATCTTTATTATTCATGGATGCAAAAATCACATCATTAAACCATCATAAATATTCATAACACTTTGCCACTGTGTGCATTTCATTTAGCCACTTGGCAAAACTTCTCGAGAGCACAAGAGTTTGGAGGAAAGCTGGCTAATGAGACCAGAGCAGAGGAAATGGGTTCAGGTTTTCCTTTTTACCTGAAAACAAATGCAGAATAAATATGTTTTTTTACATAATTAACCAAAAAAAACCCACCAGAGACCACATTCACTGGTGATGAAGATTCATGCCCTCACTAGCTTGCTTACTTTTTCCTGTGTGTTATAGGGAAGCAATAACACAAAACACTTTGCACTACAAGGGTATTATGGAGACCAGGAAGCTGTAAGACTAAGGGACTTAACGCCAGTGCTGCAAAGCCAGATCAACATCACTGCATCGGTTTACAGGGAACTGCTTCTCATTTGAAGTATAATTATTGACATCATGCATGATTCAAGATCAGAAAACCCCATTTTAAAGCAGAGCAGCCATCCTGTTCTTTGTAGTGTTCTTGGGTGCAACTTTAGCAGTTGTCTGACTCCTTTAAGCCAGTTTATCTATGCTCTGCATTCCTGCCTCAGCACTAAGGTCTTTTTAATGACACAAAAAGGACTAAACCTACTACGATGTTTGATGCGTAGAGTGCTCAGCAGCCAGGGGGCAGCTGTGCATTCCCTCATAAGGCTCTGATGCTGCAAAGATACTGAGTACGCACCCATGCCCTTAGCTCCAGGTGCAGCCTGAAAGAGGTGCTCAGCTCCTTGCAGATATTAAGAGTTAACAGCTGAGTGGTTCAGATTTTGCAGAAGGTGATCTTTTAAGCACGATGCATAACTAGAATATATCATTCTATACTGTACCCTCCCCCATACAAATCCCTGATAAAACCTAGTGCTCCAATATAATTCACAAGAAATGAATTGTCCTATTTTAAAAAAGGGTGGAGTGAATGAAATGGCATATTTTTGAGTAACCAGTGCTTATGGTATTCCTGGCCTCTCTTTACCCCATGGCTTATTGTTTGCAACTCGCTCCCTGAGCGTTGTTTCACATGAGGCTGTTAGCTCCAGTGGTAAGCTATGGCTCTTCATTTGCTCTCTAAAGCACCTGGCATATTTTGGGCTCTTGTATAACTAATTAATACCTCGCATTTCTAAATGCATTGAGAGTGGGATTTTTCAAAATTGCTCCCGGTTGGCCTACGTCTGCTCTCTGTGACACAAATGATAGAACATCTATGGACTTCACAGGAATAGAGTTAGGCCAGTGATGAGCAATTTCAGAAATCCCAGCCTCACGTCTTTCTGGCTTATGACTTAGATTGTTATGCATCCTCACAATTAGAGGAAGACTTTTTTGCAGGGATAAACTTGAAAGAGAATGTTTTTACCAACAGTAATCTCCTTTGTTTGGAGTCTATCCCACCTTGCTCTTACTGATGACATTCCCGATTGAATGAAATCTGGCTTATAATAGTGGAAAAGTGGAAGCATTAGGATATACATAATGGTCCATGATGCACATCAATCCAAATTTCCCTTAGGCTTTCACACCAGGCCCGGGGCCTGATCCTGACCTTCCTCAGACAAAGGATAGCAGCTACAATATTTTTATTTCTAGTCACCATTAACATAAAGGGAACAGCTCGACAATTTCACTTCTGGCTTGCTAATCAGGGTAAAATATATTTTAATCACATGTTCTTCTTGCATTTGATTTTTGGTCATTTTTCTACTGCGCTTTTTCTTTGCCATGGGTGAAGTAAAAGTGCAGAGATAAAGAACCCTTCTTTAACTGTTTGGACTAGGAGGCCGGTTATTAGCTGATCTCTCTGTGGAACCTTTAGTTAAGGTACTGCAAGTTACAGTACATGAGAACAAAGACACTACTGGTTCTCAACAGTAGGAGTAACAGAGGGATGCTTATATCTACAGTATGCTATTGATTTCTTTGACCTTTCCTTTTACAGATACTGTACAGACAAAAACTGAAACACATTTCTCCCCCCAGAGATAAAAGTACTGTGGGCAAAACTTCAATGTTAAAATCAGAACGAGTAAAGACAAATACAAGTCACTGAGGGGGCATGTGCGTGCCACAAAAGAGAACTTAGAGCAGATAGAGTAAACTTTGAACACGAGAATTGAAAGGCAGGAAGAATGCTCTTAAGATTAGAGGGAGAGAAAGAGGGATTAGCTTTCCTTTAGTAAATTATAAAATGTATGAGTTTGTAGGAACTACTCTGGCTACCTTATCTTAAATACTATGTACAGTCTAGCCATTCCTAGCAAAACATGGAAGCATTCCATTTCTTTTCCCCAGTGTATGTATCTAGTTTGTTTCTTGTTCTTCCTTAGTTTTCTTGTCAGGATTGACAAGCATCCTTGTGTAACCAAGTGACACCTGCACTTCCTGAAGTAATCATCACAGGAAAATCCGGATATTTCGAAGTGCATTATTGGCTGTACAAATCACCCGTTAGTCTGAATTCTTCTCAATTAACCAGGACTGACAGTGTTTTACCTGAAAAAAATCTGTCTCTGCCTTTTATATTTCTGCAATAGTGCTGTGCTTTGGCTCACTTAACAGGGCTATATTAAACCATTTGAATTGGATTTGAAGTAACATACTGGCATTCTTTCATCTAGGAGACACTTTGTATGGTTTTTGTAGGTCCCTAGTTAGTCTAGAATAGTATTTTAATCATAGTATTACTACAGTGTGGCCCGATTCACTCTTGAAGGCCAAAATCATGTCAAAAACAAAGCTACATGATGAGCTCTCTAGAACCGGAACAGTGTTCATTTTACATGGTTGTACAACACTTAGTATAACAGGAGCCTTATTCCCAATTGTGGCCCCTAAGTGCCACGTAATATACTGTTTATTAGGAACTATGTTTAAACCACGTTTCCTAACAAAGGCAAAACATAATGAAAATGGAACTAAGAAAAAACAGGGGGAAATTTATATTACACAAAATCTGGAAAAACACACACCCAACCACCCTATTTGGTTGCCGTGTCTCTAAATGAAACAAAATAACATGTTTTGTGTAATGTACAGCAAACTGCACCAACACTTTGCTGTATCAGAATGATGTGAGGAGTGTCAGAATATTCTCAGTAATGCCCACACTGGTATTCTGGGAATAAAATTATTCTTGGGGAAAATAATGCAGAGACATCTCGTGTAAAGCAGGGTCTAGAAATGAAATCAAAGGCCATTCTCAGCAAACGCAGAGTGACTTCTGAGCCAAGACTATTAGCTGTGTCAGACATGGCTATTATGTTAAGACATATTGAACATGTGTCACTTATAATCATGCCCTGGTTGTAAGATCACACATCCATGGGCAAACGTCCAGAGCACCAGTTCTTTGGACTAAGCACTCGCATACACCGCTCCTCTTCCCACAAAACTGTCACTCCTTATTCGTAAAAGAGGTTACGGTAAGTTGCAATTAGTACTTGCTGCCCTGTCAACTAATTGTATGTAACAAAAAGCTTTCAGTGAGTTTCATGCTAACATGGTGTAATTAAAGCTGAGTTTTGAAATGCATAGTGTGTATATTAGAGGTTTCAGTATGTATCCCCCACCTCCCACGTGACTTAATTTCTCAGGTTAAGCTGCTGTACCTATCATGCGATCCCAGAACAGGTACCATGAAAAACAGTTTCAGAGCTGAGTACAAATCTTTGCCAATCCAGTCTCACATAATTTTAGAGGCACTGCAAGAATGGCTGGGGGAAAAGGGAAAGAAGCAACTCATCATTTCACTTCCCCTCCATCTCATGAGGCACCACTGCTCAAACTCTCCCCACTTCCCATGAGGCTCCCACAGCTCTCACTCCTTTTTTTTTTAATAACATTTATTTTAAAGCTGCTAATAACCCCCCCTCTCTTTGTAAGTCAGAGGGCATCATGGTTAAAGGGGGGCCATGTGCGACTGCCCTGTTTGTATGTCCCTTGCACCTGCTCGGATCCTCTGTAAGCAGAATACTTGCTTTGGAACTTGTGACCATCTTAGCAAGGGCCATAAAGGCGGCTATTAAAAAGGTCCAGCATGGGGCAAAAGCAACAACATTGAAATCTGGTCTTTTGTATACTGTACAGATTTCACAAGGGAGACCAGCATTCCTCGAAATGGGGGTCCTGACTCAAAAGAGGATTGTGGGGGGTCACGGTATTGCCATCCTTACTTCTGTGCTGCCTTCAGAGCTGGGTGGCCAGAGAGCAGCGGCTGCTGGCCAGGCACCCAGCTCTGAAGGCGACGTCCTACCAGCAGCAGCGCAGAAGGATGGTAATACCATACCATGCCACCCTTATTTCTGCGCTGCTGCCTTCAGAATTGGGTCATGACCCCTATAGATATAACACTGTGAAATTTCAGATTTAAATAGCTGAAAGAATTATATTTGTGATTTTTAAAATCCTATGACTCTGAAATTGACCAAAATGGACCATGAATTTGGTAGGGCCCTAAATATAAAGCCGGTAAGAATATTCTAGCACTTGGAGGACACAATTCCTTACTCTCCCAAGTACTCTGAAAAGCTATTAACACATACATTAGGGGTGAAAAATCTCACAGCTGCCAGAGTTTAGTACACCAGCCAGGATGTTGGGGGGTACAGATCCAGGCAGTTTGTCATTGCACACATGGCTTTCCTCACATTCCATAGCCTTTCCCTATTATACTCCTTACTGCCGTCCATTGCCCACAAATACGTAAGACGAAAGTCCCTGAAATAAAGGCATCATTCAGTGAACAAAAATGTAGCCTAAGAGAACCAATTAAAATGATGAAAATCTTTAATTTTTATTTAAGTATAATTGTACGGACACGTGTATATACAAATACAGATCTTATGGGTTGTTTTTTTTAACATTTTCTTTTAAGTTCATATAATGTAAGCATTTCAAAAACAGCACTCAATGAATAAGTGCAAAGAAACTGCAAAGCAGGGCAGTACAAGCACAGGACCACACTGAGCTGGACTTTCATACCCAGATGCACACACAATGAGTGGCTTCAATGGGGTGTCAAGAGTAAGCATGGAAAGCGGATTTTGCAGACTCATGGGTAACCTCCAACATGCCAGCATCTATTAAACTGTACAGACAATGGCAGCAAGCCTATTGTAGGGAGATTTGTCTCACATCCGAGAAGCTCAGGGGCGAATGCATGGGAAAAACTCAGTGATGCCAAACCAGAAACAGATCTGCCCATTCACTGTTCCAAATTAAAAAAACGAGGGAGAGGGGGAGTGGAGGGGGATGGGAGTAAAGTGAGGAGTTGTAAAGTAAAACTGGTGAGCACAAATCTGAGTGGATGGATGAAGGGGGAAAATTAAATTATTTTCTAATTTTCTGAAACTGAAAGAACAATTGCTCTCATGAGGCAACAGATAAAGTTCAGTTTCTAGGAAAAATCAACAGGTACAAATACAATCCCTTTCCTTCCACAAATATACAGGAAAGGAAATAATCCACATTTGACTCTCCCAAGTCTGTTGCTTGTTGTTTTGGAATCAAGTCCATGCACATGTCACACATGATACTGGCAAGATCCCTTCTGGGGGAAAAAAACTATCCATGAAGGGAGGGGAAGGAAAAGACAGAAGGAAAACAGAAAACAACAAAGAATAAAGAAAACAAAGGAATAGAAGAATTTTTTGATCCCCAAAGCCTTTTAGAAACCAACATGTTAAAAAACCCCAAAACAAAACAAAACAAAAAAACCAACACAAAAAACCACACGCTATAACATCAGACCTTTAAACACTGAGGACAAAACATTGATCATCAAAAGTCATGTTGTTCCAGGTCTTGACATTGTGAAGTCTTGAGATCAGGTGAACAGTTTTCACAGATGAGTCCTGTATGATGCAGTGTCATGGCCCCTTATAACTCAGTTCTCAGCCATGATTACACTTGATGCTTCAAAGCTCTGTCTTATAATCAATGCATGTTTTTAATATCCTGAAAGTCTATTGTTCTCACTTACAAAAGACATAAGAATCAAATTAATACTTTATTATCAAACACTATATACAACAGAGGTTGCTAAATACAGAATTTAAAGAACATACCTTTTTTTTTAAGTTTTACTTGTCTTTCCTTTGCCATTCAAGAAAGTACAGTACAAAACAATATTCTAAACTAACACGAAATGTTACCTTGTCTATTAAAGGATACATAGTATCCACTAAACAGACTGATCCTTATTTCCCTGCTTCACGTTGCAAAGCCCTTGGCAACCAGGAGTGCAGGTCACAGGGGTGAACTATCTGGGCTGAGAGATGTCTGTTGCAGAATTAGTTAGTCCCTCAGACTTCACAGGGTGGGTGCATGTGTGTGTTGGGGGGGGGGGGGGGGGAAGAGCTGCTTACACTTGCACCAACATCCTTCAAAGCTTCCAGAGTCTTGTAACTCTGCACAACAAAAAACAAAGATTCAATGGTTTGCAGCACTTGCTTACTTGATATGACTGGGATTGCCTGATGCCATCAAGTATCCAAGCTGATGTCTGGTAAGCTTGCAATTCACAGTTATATTGTTCTATGTAGTGTAGTAGTCTGTCCGTTAGCTGTGATAGTCTTGCTATTATTAATTTAGTTAGCGCTGATAATGTGGTAAAATAAAGGATTGAATTTCACTGTGGAAAACACTAGTGAAAAAAGAGTTTTCTGTTGATAAGTGTGGCTTTTGAGCATAGGCATAATTTGGAGATGGGGGGCCTTTCTCCGCCTCTGCCCCCTGCCAAACTGCAAGCCTGGGCAGGCATGGAATTTCCCCCCTGACATGCAATCCTATTGTCCTGACTGGAGTTGTCCCTCCCCAATACAGAAGTTAAACTACACCTACGGTTGTGAGAGTCCATTGTCATGGATAGAGAAATGATAGAACATAATGAAATTCACTTCTGAAATAAAATCAGCACTATTAATATAAGTATGACTAAGTGCAGCCAATGTGAATCTTTTTAAATATGCTTACCTAGCAATATTATCTTTTTGCTGTCTATTATAAGGTGTGTTTTCATCCTTAAGCCCACCTCCCCCAAAGTTCTGTAATTCTTAGTTGAAGGAAATATTAGCATGTGCACCAACTATACATGCTGGAGAAAGAGAAATGTATTGACTATTTCGTAATGAAATGGTGAGTTTCTTCAGTGTCTAGACTGTGGTTTTTGATTTTGTGTGTTCAATATTAGTAGAAATTTCCTTGATTCTATCTCAAGGGCAGCTTCTGCATCAATATCCATACTGTATAGTATCAGGCAACCCCACAATTAAGTTTAACATGTGTACAATTTCCTTTTCTCTTTTTTGGATCATGGACTGTTCAAAATTCTAGGAAGCAGCTCTTTTTAATTTAATTTAATTTATAATCATTTTCACAAAATGAAGCCCATTAACAACCCCTATTAATTTTTAACTAATACATAAAATCCCTTGTTTTGTTGGAACATGTTCCATTTTTTTCCACATTCAACATAATCATAATCATCAGTTTTTGTTTGAAAGGCTTTGTTTTGATATTGGCCTGACATATTTCCCTGACTGTATTTCAGATTTCAAAGATCATGGCAGCCTCACCAATAGAAACCCCAAGTCTTGCATTTCCTGGTGAATGATTTCTCAAGTCCTTTCCTGGCCATGCTCAGATTCCTTAAACAGGGTCACCCCCCAATTTCATCAAACAAAACAGTTCCCATATTCCTAATTGCATCAAGGGTTACCACTTTTCTCACGTTTAAATAGGACAAGCATATATACTCACTCTCAGCATAAAGTATATCTAAATAATGTATTTTCTATTCTAGTGGATTTTTAAAAAAATATTTTGTTAAAGTCTTTGGGAGCCCATCTGGTTTATCTCCTGCTGATAAACATATTTCCTCTACTGTTCAAACTATGTTGGAAAGGGAGAAGATATAAAATCAACATTTCAATTTGTATTCCTTACTTTCAAACACTTTTCCTTACCCCCCGCCACCCCCAAACAATGCCGATTGGCTGTCCTGGCTTCTTCTGGCTTTTTTTATTCCCATGATGGTGGAACTTGCAAGGGAGACAAAGAAGTGAGCTGTAGCTCACGAAAGCTTATGCTCAAATGAATTTGTTCGTCTCTAAGGTGCCACAAGTACTCCTTTTCTTTTTTCAAGAACACACTGGATATCCTGTGTCCCAAAAAATGTTTCCTCTGGCCACTGAAGTCCTCTCCTTAGAGCATATTGTCACCCAGAGCTGCATACAAAGCTACCAGCTACTAAGTCAGCCCTGGGGAAGGTCACTTTATTCACAAAAAAATGCCTCTTTGCATTTCAAGAAAAAAAAATTGTAGCACCATGGTGATTTGTTTTGAAAGAAAATAATCTGGTGTGCACTACCCACTTAAATGAAAATAACAGAGGCACTCGTACCCCCAGTGAAGTTTCCTAAATCTGACCTTGCTTGCTGTGTGCTAACATTCCTAAATATTAATATTTTTTTTTCTAAAGAGAGCTTCTATTATGGAGCACAGGTTTTTACTGTCAGTGATGTTTCAAGACAGTCTTGTAAGAAACTGTGTCTCTTCCTTTTAAAAGCCTGTTCATTTAGAAACTCCTAGAGGAAATAGTGTTATATCTGTTCTTAATATTTCCCCTCCAGTCCTGACATGGTGACATGATGCCTTGCAGGATCATCTTACAGTACTGAATGAGAAGGCATAAATATTGTATTGGAGAGTAATACCCTGGTGGGCTTCCACTCAGGTTCCTTATCCTTCACTGACTGCATCTGCCACTATTCTTCCGTATCCACATACAGATGATACAGTGAGCTAGCAGAAGTGACTTCTTAAAGGAGAATGAAGAGGAAAATAAGAATCACTAGTATCACTGTTATAATTTGGCATTTTCATTTTGAGTCCTTTGATTTTTGGAGGGGTCAAGGAAAGTCATGGGGAAGGTTGGGAACTGAAACTAGTTATTCCCCTCAAATTCTTGCTCATAGTTCAGGCTGAAAAGAAAACAAACAAACAAACAAACAAACAAACAAACAACCCCTCCCGCCCTCCCCCCAAAATTTGACATCTGCAAAACCAATATAAAGTCCCTTTCCTGGGAGGAGCAGTTAGGTGGATCTTTGATGTTCCAAGACCCTGATGTTTTCTGTGAGAAGGTTACTGGAATATACTGTGCTATAATGTCAAAAGCATCGCCAGGAGGAACAATAGGGTTGCCAAAAGCCGGCTGGATATCCTCGGTGTCTGTGCTGCATTCTCACCGCGGGATGGCTCGGCTGACTCATGTACGGTATCATCTGTTCAAACAGAAAGCACACATTCCGATGAGGTTTTGCATCCTTAATAAGGTCTCTTTCAGCAGTCTGCAAGTAGATTTCAGTATCCTCTGTGAAGTAGGGCAGTGAACCTTGTGCTAGCAAATTGACTTCCACAAGCGTGTAATAACTCATTATGTAACAAACTTGGGGTCAAATCTTGTGTTCCTTACTCATTCCTTTTTCTGGCAAGACTCCTACTCAAGGCAATGGGAGCAAAAATGAGGGCCTTGGTGGTTTTGCTAGGGTAAGGAATGCAGTGTTCCCCCTAAAATAAAACAGTATGGTGCACACTTACAGAAGGTCTGACTAGATCGGGGTGGGCAAACTATGGCCCATAGGCTGGATCTGGCATGCAGTTCCCAGAAGCAGTGGAGGGGCCCCCCTCTGGCTCCTCCATGTAGGGAAAGCCAGGGAGCTCTGCTCCGCATCTGCCACGGCAGGTCCCATTGGCTGGGAACTGCAGCCAATGGGAGCTGCAGGGGTGGTGCCAGAGGATGGGGCAGCATGCAGAGCTGCCTGGCCGCACCTCCATGTAGGAGCTGGAGAAGGGACATGCTGCTGATTCCGGGAGCTGCTTGAGGTAAGCACTGCCTGGAGCCTGCACCCCTGAACCTCTCCCCACACCCCAACCCCCTGCCCCAGCCCTGATCCCCCTCCTGCCCTCCAAACCCCTCAATCCCAGCCCAAAGCACCCTCCAGCACCCCAAACCCCTCATCCCCAGCCCCATCATAGAGCCTGCACCCCCATCCAGAGCCTGCACCCCTTCCTGCACCCCAACCCCCTGCCGCAGCTCTGATTTCCCTCCCGCCCTCCGAACCCCTCGGTCCCAGCCTAGAGCCCCCTCCCACACCCTGAACTCCTCATTTTTGGCCCCACCCGGAGCCTGCACCCTAAACCAGAGCTCCACCCCCTCCAACTCCCCAACCCCCATTCTTTGAGCCTTCATGGCCTGCCATACAATTTCTATTCCCAGATGTGGCCCTTGGACCTAAAAGTTTGCCCACCCCTGGACTAGATGATCACAATGGTTTCCCCTGGTCTTAGAATCTGTGAAAACTTGGGTATCTAACTTTAGCCACCTAAGTCCATATTTAGACAGCTAAATAAGAGTGCCTGATTTTCAAAGATGCTTCAATGGGAGTTGCAGGTGCTTAGCACATTTGAAGATCAGATCCCTTACTTAGCTACCTAAGTATAGATTTAGGAGTCTACCTTTAGGCTCCTAAGTTTGGAATGTTGGCCTATGAGTCCACTCCATGTGCAAAACTTCCAGTACAGTTAACTGGAGTTTGGGGTGCACAAGGAATGTATTTTTTCCCCCAGAAGTATGAATGAAAGAAAAAATGCTAACAGGTTACAATCAGTGATTTGAAAGAGAAAACATGCAAACCTTGATAACTCTTAGTAAATAGTTATTTGCTATCTATTGTATCTAGCAGATTACTCATATACTCTGCTAAATCTAAAACTAATGTAAATCCGCCAGCATCACTGGAAAAAATAGTTGCAAAGTACATGTATGTTAGTAGTAGAACATGATGGGCAGAACATTTTTTCTCTCTTTATAAGCTTTTAAATTTCTGACACAATTTCGTATTAACACAATAAGACATTTTAAAGAAACTGTACACAGATCACATTAAACTATCTTTGATATACCTGTAGTTGTGGATGATTTTACCATTTCCATTACTATGTATCTCAGAGTTTAAGTTATCGAACTTAGATATTTTAATTTTCATCTCTCCTAAGGTGGGGATAAAAGCATCAGTCTTGGATGTGAATTTTCTTCCAAATAAATGGATTAAATCAGACATCTTTTTAAAACAACGAAGTGGTCTAAAAAAATGTACTGTTAACTTGAGACGTTTCTTCTGATCCACCCTAACTAAAAAAGAACAGGAGGACTGGTGGCACCTTAGAGATTAGCAAATTTACTTGAGCATAAGCTTTCGTGAGCTACAGCTCACTTCATCGGATGCTTATGCTCAAATAAATTTGTTAGTCTCTAAGGTGCCACAAGTCCTCCTGTTCTTTTTGTGAATACAGACTAACACGGCTGCTACTCTGAAACCTAGCTAAAAAAATTTCACAGAAAACTTCACAGCCACTTACAACTTAGTGTAATAAACAACTACTGCATTTCATGCAAGATGTGTCCACATTTCCATGGTGAGTCAATTAATTCCTACGTATACAAATTACATTGCCAGGATTGTATACGATGTGAGCTGCACAACTCTCCTTAATGATGGGGGAAGTAGTGCTAAAAATGCCACACTGTTTTGAAAATGTACCCCTTAATGTTAGTTTAAAAGCAGTTTTTAAGAAACCCCTATATTTGCACTGTAATGGCACCCAACATGCAAGTGCACAGAATGTTAAAAGATAAAGGAAGTACGATTTTGGGTCCATGGGCTCTTCATACCCAATCTGAAATCACTGGAATCTGTATAGTAACTTTGACTAGCAATCTATCAAAGGTTTGACTCCAGGACAAATTGCCAATGGAACAGTCTCAAGTTTATCATGACATGTTTTCAGTGTTGTTTCAAGGTATAACTATGAAGAGCATGCATGCAGAGTAACTGAAATTCAAATATAAATATTTTATTATATTATTTATGTTACATGATAATGGGACAAACACAGTCTTTCATTCAAATGAAAGTCCCGCTGAAGTCAGAGTAATGACTTCAGGACTCGACTGAACAACCTACAGTTTATACATGGGAAAAGCTCCCACTGACTTAAATGGGTTCTGAATCAAGCCCACAGTATCTTTCTATCCAGCATCTTTCATTTCAAAACACCTTACAAATTACACTATGTAACTGCAACAGATAATTAAAGAACTTCATTAGTTCCAGTGATAACAGAACTGGGTCAGAAGGGCATATGGCCCAAACGCAATGCACAATTTTTACTTATAATTTACACACTTATGTGTTTCACGCTGTTACTTTATGAATGGAAGATTTCTTAAAAGAGCCTTTCATTGAGAAAATACTCTGAAAAGTTTCTGTGTAAGAATAGCATCTTCCTAATCATCAGATCTGCTCTCAGTGTCTATTCAGAGTCCCTATCTGCTCAATTCAGAGGAAAAGTTTACTTATTACTGTCAAACCAAAACTCCTGGGGGAATGAAACTGATTCTCTTCTATCTCATGTATCATCAATGAAATTGCAAACTAAGTTCCGTTTCCTGGGCCACCTATAATTCCCTGTACAACCCTCACTGTCATGAAATTCTGGCCTCAATCACACACAGGCCTGCCTTGGTGTAAATAAAGGCAGAATTTGTGAGTGGTGATTATACAAATGGCAGCTTGAGTTACAGATCCCATGGTGAATGCAGCACTGGCAATTTGGTTAAAACAAAACCCAAATCCTTTTTACCTGTAAATGAACAAATCTGGTTTGGAAATCACGGAGACCTAATAGATGAAGGACCCTATGATGCCATTTTTATAAAGCCACTTTTCAAAGTAGAACTTCTTTTTTCATGTAAGATGAAGGGGTACTTTTTCAAAGCAGCATCTGGGCTTTTTGGCAAGATGATCCCAAGGTCTCTTTGCACTTGTACAGTAGAGCACACTTTTTATCCGTGGCTCCCATATTGCTTTATAAATATTATTATTAATTGCATTTGTGCAGTTAAAACCATGCACAATCTTAAATACTTAGGGGAAAGAGGTTGGATTATTTTAGCAAAAAGGAAAGTTAAACTAGGAGACTAGGACCTCAGTAGTAAAAACTAGAATGTCACTACCATCGTAGAAGGTAGGAAATGAAAATAGACCACACTTTAGTACAACCGTCTCAAATATGAATTTTCTAGATACCATCACTTTAAATTATACCCTGGGGGTCTAATTCTGGCCTGAAATACACAATCTCAATTTCATTTGAGGGAAGAATTTATTTTAACTTTGCCTTTTTGAATTTGATACATTTTATGGCTTCTGAAGTTTTTATGTGGTTTTATGGCTACAAACCCAAATTCTGAAATTAAGAAGTGACTTTTCACTTGTCGGTTTCCCGCCATTTCCCGATTATGAACAAACACTGTTTGAAACCAGGAAGGTCATCACATAAGTGCCCAATTTTTACAAGAATGATTTCTAGATAGAATGATTGGCAATTGTACAATGTGCCCCTGACCTGCCCCAACCCTCGTGTCCTTTATTGACAGAACATGGTGGCAGACAACGTGAGAAGACGCAAAACAGACAAATGCATTCCAAGGACAGGTAAATTAGTACACAGTGCAGACAGCATGCCACAAGATCCACTGTCTTACATCCTAACAATAAAGAAGCGCATCAGCAAACTGTCAGCTCCAGCAATGGTTAATTGTCAACTGGGGATTAGCTCAAATAATGTTGTGAATATGCCATGCTCGGGAGGAGGGGTGGGGGGAAGAGTTTTTTGGTAACTGATGTGTTCTAAATATAAACTTCTTATTAAGCCCAACTTTCATCCTCATGGCACCACTCCACTTCATCTCTGTCTGCAGGATGCCCACCATGTGGTTTAGTCTCCCCATTGCCTGATGTCTTAATGATTTGCTTCTGTTACTGTGTTAAGTAGGTTTCAGAGGAACAGCCCGTGTTAGTCTGTATTCGCAAAAAGAAAAGGAGTACTTGTGGCACCTTAGAGACTAACCAATTTATTTGAGCATGAGCTTTCGTGAGCTACAGCTCACTTCATCAGATGTTTACCGTGGAAACTGCAGCAGACTTTATATACACACAGAGAATATGAAACAATACCTCCTCCCACCCCACTGTCCTGCTGGTAATAGCTTATCTAAAGTGATCAACAGGTGGGCCATTTCCAGCACAAATCCAGGTTTTCTCACCCTCCACCCCCCACACAAATTCACTCTCCTGCTGGTGCTAGCCCATCCAAAGTGACAACTCTTTACATAATCAAGTCGGGCTATTTCCTGCATAGATCAAGGTTTTCTCACATCCCCCCCACCCCCATACACACACAAACTCACTCTCCTGCTGGTAATAGCTCATCTAAACTGACCACTCTCCAAGTTTAAATCCAAGTTAAACCAGAACATCTGGGGGGGGGGGGGGGGGTAGGAAAAACAAGAAGAAACAGGCTACCTTGCATAATGACTTAGCCACTCCCAGTCTCTATTTAAGCCTAAATTAATAGTATCCAATTTGCAAATGAATTCCAATTCAGCAGTTTCTCGCTGGAGTCTGGATTTGAAGTTTTTTTGTTTTAAGATAGCGACCTTCATGTCTGTGATTGCGTGACCAGAGAGATTGAAGTGTTCTCCGACTGGTTTATGAATGTTATAATTCTTGACATCTGATTTGTGTCCATTTATTCTTTTACGTAGAGACTGTCCAGTTTGACCAATGTACATGGCAGAGGGGCATTGCTGGCACATGATGGCATATATCACATTGGTGGATGTGCAGGTGAACGAGCCTCTGATAGTGTGGCTGATGTTATTAGGCCCTGTGATGGTGTCCCCTGAATAGATATGTGGGCACAATTGGCAACGGGCTTTGTTGCAAGGATAAGTTCCTGGGTTAGTGGTTCTGTTGTGTGGTATGTGGTTGTTGGTGAGTATTTGCTTCAGGTTGCGGGGCTGTCTGTAGGCAAGGACTGGCCTGTCTCCCAAGACTTGTGAGAGTGTTGGGTCATCCTTTAGGATAGGTTGTAGATCCTTAATAATGCGTTGGAGGGGTTTTAGTTGGGGGCTGAAGGTGACCGCTAGTGGCGTTCTGTTATTTTCTTTGTTAGGCCTGTCCTGTAGTAGGTAAGTCATTATGCAAGGTAGCCTGTTTCTTCTTGTTTTTTCCTACCCCCCCCCCCCCAGATGTTCTGGTTTAACTTGGATTTAAACTTGGAGAGTGGTCAGTTTAGATGAGCTATTACCAGCAGGAGAGTGAGTTTGTGTGTGTATGGGGGTGGGGGGGATGTGAGAAAACCTTGATCTATGCAGGAAATAGCCCGACTTGATTATGTAAAGAGTTGTCACTTTGGATGGGCTAGCACCAGCAGGAGAGTGAATTTGTGTGGGGGGTGGAGGGTGAGAAAACCTGGATTTGTGCTGGAAATGGCCCACCTGTTGATCACTTTAGATAAGCTATTACCAGCAGGACAGTGGGGTGGGAGGAGGTATTGTTTCATATTCTCTGTGTGTATATAAAGTCTGCTGCAGTTTCCACGGTAAACATCTGATGAAGTGAGCTGTAGCTCACGAAAGCTCATGCTCAAATAAATTGGTTAGTCTCTAAGGTGCCACAAGTACTCCTTTTCTTTTTGTGTTAAGTAGGCGCTACGGAGTCAATGGGAGCTGCAGGTGCTCAGCACTTTAGAAAATTTGACCCTCTATCTTTACTGAAAGCACTTCTTTGTTATTGGTCTCACCCAGACTAAAGTCTTTGCTGCAAACCATTAACAAAGGGTGTATGTATTAATTAGCCAGTATTCACTACATTTCATATCAGGAGAAAACACATAGGGCTTCTCGATTCTTAGGTTAATGAACAATTAGGGAGATATTGCCCTTATGGCCTCCTCTAGGAGTATGCTAAAATAATAAAACTACTACATTTATTGTGACAAAAATACATTGCTTGGAGTCAGCATGCATTTAGATGCTCATTTGTTTTGAGAATCTAGTCGGTTTCCAAAATCAATACATTTTAGAGAGCCCGGAATATCCTCTTGAGTAAAAAATAATGAAAGACAGTGTATGTCCACAGGCATATCATATAGACTAGTAAATTTCTTAAAGTCTTATTTATTTTGCTGCCTAATAACCTAGTTCAGCTGAAAGTATCAGCAAACATATTCCATTACAAAACAGAGCAAGGAAAAAATAATTTGTTGCTTCATATCAAAGGGAAGTTCCTTTTTCAAGTAACCTAAAAAAAGAGAGGTTCTTCTAGTGTGCTCTCTGAATTTGCATTAAAAATTGTGTCTGTGTTATTTTTTGGTATAGTGTGTTTAATTACCCATTTTCAATGAGCAGTGCATTACTATGTGTGCATGTTTCTATACAATACACATCTAGGCCCTGATTCTCCAGAGCCTTACACACATGCTTAATTTTAATCATGTGTAAACCCATTGAAGTCAGTGGGATTAATCATTTTCTTAAAGGTAAGCATGTGTCTAAATCTGTGCATGGTCTGAACCATATATAAACCCACACACACACACACACACTTTCATGGCTGACATTAATTTGACTTATTGCTGACTGTGCACGTGGGTGGCAGGGGCGGGGAGGAAGGGAAGGGGAAAGGAAATATTTGGTGATATAAGCATTCTCTCTGTTTTTAAGGCTACAACACTTGGATACAAAGAGAGGCCACAAGATTTTAGAATATATTTGCTCTCGTATTTGGACCAGAAGATGACATGATTACAATTCTCTTGTAAAAACTAGATGGGAAAATTTATAACACCACTTTGCCTAACTAAGTGTACAAATGAATTATTTAGGAAAACACTAACTTTTATCAGTTATATGCCTTTGTCATGCATTAGTATTAAATAAGCAGTACCCAATTCCTTTTAAATGTGCATACAAACCACATGAAACCAGAGTATTTACAGTTCAGACATTTGCTATCTTTCTAAAACTCTGGACCCATTTAGAAGATAGAGTGGTTTGTCAACATGCTTGGGGTGTGAGATGGAACAGAAAGTGGCTTCTGGACATGTCACTGGAGATTTTAAATTTGGGCACTGCATTTTATTAAACCATATGCCACAAAAAAGCAACATTTTGTCCCCCATGCATTACACAAGGATACTGGAAGAATGAGGTATACCATAAGCAATATTAGCACTGCTAGAAATGAGCCAAAGCAGAGCAATTATACCATGCAAAGCATGCAGAGAGAAAGAGAAGGAAAAAAGTACTGAAGCACCAGAGGGATAGACGCATTTGTTAAAAGAGATTCTCTAAGCATACTAACCTGCTGGTTCTAATGAATTTTCTACTTTGTCGTTAACATCGAAAACACGATCATGAACACCTATAGTTTTCATACAGCTGTCTATAACAAAAATAGAGATAACAGCCAAATATGTTAGTGAGACACCCTTAAACTCCCCACTTTCCTTTTTTTTCTATCTTTTCTCTCTATTTTTTTTATATATATCTATATCTATATTTATATTTTAAAGTCTCTGGCACTTGTCCAAATGCCAGTATAGTCGTCCATTTGTACAACAATTTAAGAAACAACAAGTTAGCAACTGCTAGGTAATAAAACAAAAAGCTTTATGAAGGATGATAAGAAAATATGGGGAAAACTGAAACACAAATGTTGCTATACAGAACAAATACCACACAAGATTTAACAGTAAAAAAAAACCAAAAAGGTTTATTGCTGTTTACCAGACCACACAATAAAGCATGCGCTATTAAGCCACCCTCTAAAGCTTGATCTAAAGAACTTACTTGCTGGCCGCACAAAGACTTTAAGCTTTAGACAGGACCTCCTTCCATTATCTGGGATTGCAGAAGCTGTAAAAGAAGAGAAAGAAAGAAAAATACAATTATTCTTTATCTTAAAGGCAAATATTCCAGATCTTCTGAAGGGAATATACATATTCCAGGCTCTGCCATACAAAGAAAGGAACAAAAAAGTCAAGTACCCAGGTTCCCTGGCTACGCAAGTGCATGAAGAGAATTGCAGGCCAGACTACATTAAACAAACACCTGTCAGGAATGGTCTAGTTATTATTTAGTCCTGCCTTGAGTGCAGGGGACCAGACTAGATGACTTACTGAGGTCCCTTCCAGTCCTACACTTCTATGAGTCTATGTCCCTATTTAAAAAATGGGAGAAACAAAGCACAGGATATTCTTGAAAGTTTCAATCTCCCCTCTCTCCCTTCCCAACCCTTGTTCTCAACAGCCTATTTAACATTAATTTGTATTCCAGGTGCTTACCTTGGAAAATGACACATTACAGTATTTTCCCCACACTCACAATGAAATGGATTCTCCTGAGTTCACCAAAGGAAAAGCTAGTCTTGATATTGGTCGGTTTTAGAATTAGTGCCACAAAATGGGGACCAAACGATCACAAAATGAAATGGTAGGGGATGACTTTAAAAGAATAATCAGAAGAAAATTAACATAACCTGACTTTACTAAGGTAACATAGTGCTTATGTTCCTAAAACTTGTTTGCCAGTGATACAGAGGATCTACTCAAAACTTCACCCCGCATCCTATACAACTAAACTAAAATAGCCACCTCCTACTTGCCATTCAAATTATGTCTTTATAGAGGTAATACCTGAAGAGAAAAATATGAAATTAATAACAGGGCCATAATACTAAATTTCATACTGTGCAAAAGATAATTTGGGGAAGACAGTGGTTAGTATCTACTTGTTTCCCCATGACAAATGCAGCTCTACACAGTTCTGTCAGTTAAGGGACTAGCCTGTCCTTAAAATGCATGGTGACTACTGTAAATTAAACATCCACAAGAGGAGAATATAGATCTCTCGAGGTAAATTTTCTACTAGTTTCAAATGATCTTTGGCACCTGCATAAATGTTTGCAACTACAAAATTGTAAGCACACCTGTATCTGTGCATGTAAACTGAGAGTCAAGTCACCTGCATTCAGTCCCCACGCAGACAGCACATTCTTTATGTGCAAACACTTTTGGGCACTTTTTTGTGGCCACAAATATCAGAGGTTGTAGCTGAAAGCACAGCCCATAGTGTTGCAAATAATTTTTATTTCAATACACAGAATCCACAGTGATTTAAAGAGCTATGTATTGGCTCATAGCAAGTGGTTCTGTGTTCCAGAAAACGACAACAATTGTGAGCTGTCTTGGTTTACAAGAAGATTTTTTGGGAAAAAAGTGATTCTGTCTCTTGCTCCTGTCTCATCTGTTTTTATTAACTGTGTCCTCCTCTGTGTAACAGATAACTAAAATGATTTACCCACGCAGACACAAACTCACACACTCTCTGTAAGGTAACAGCGTACTTGAAGCACTCTGAACTAACTTAAAACAAATTCTCCTCACTCCTAGATTCCTTGCTTCCTGGGCTGGCATCAGTGCGAAGAAACAGCAAATTCACCATGCAAACAAGAGAAAGAAATTAAGCAGAACTGGTGCTCTGATTCTGTGCCTGTTGGCAAGTGCAGGAGAGATTGTCTCCTCTTAATCACAAGACAAAAATATAGAGAAATGATGCTTTCCCTCTCTTGTGCACAATGACAAGTCGTTAAGAAGTGCTAACAGCTGGCTCTGCTGTAGGCTCTCACTAAATCAAACTCAGAAAAACTCCCCCTGCTGACATTTACAGTAACTGGTGTGTTATTTTTAGGGCACAATATTTGCACTCTGTGGTTACATCCAGGAAATTATGTCCTTCCTATGGCCCCATAACTGTATACATGCAAGTACTGAATACTTTGCTTAGACTACACACATAGTCATGGATTATTCATAGAAAAAAAGCTATATCTATTCCTGCATTACTAATATAGATGTGGTGATACCATTGTACATATAACCATTTCCACTGCTAGCCTAAGCAAAGACCAACACATACTTGATTCACCACTTACAGTTCTATCTTGTGTAGAAAATGATTTTAGAAATGATTCAGCAAGGTACATATACTTATTCAAAGGCAGAATGTAGCCCGTACATTTTAAGTCTGGAAACTGTTATTCAGTTTCATAAATGAGATTGCATGGACTTGCATGCATAACTGTTTTTTATTAGAGCGGTTTGCTAACTGTGATGAAAGTAGTCCTGTGATACATAGGATTAATATTTCATCTGGGAAAATAGAAAAGTGATGCTTTGAATACACCTCCAATGTTGCACCTGCACTGCCACAGCTAGAAGCAAAAACCTACAGACACAATTAATATTTGATGGTCTGTGTCTTTGGAAGAAAAAAAGGGGTATCCTATCTAGCCCTCCTTCCTCAGAAGAGCCTCACAAATGGTAACATGGGTGTGGTAAACAATTTTCTACTCCACCAGCTGATTGATATTTCCATGATAAAAATACAATGACTACAATGTAACAGCGATATTAAATTCCTCCTCCTAGGAACAGATGCACACTTTGATGATAGACATGAGGTAAGAGCTTCCCCCTCTCCTCTCCAAGGAGGTCATTTATTTTGTATGCTTACAGTAAAACAAATGCATAATACTCCTCATTCCCCATAATGTTTTATTACCTCAGGAGGACAAAAATTCAATTGAGTTATTGCCCTGCTCTTACATCTGCGTGAACTACCAAGAATAAGGTGATTAAGGGACACACTGTAATCTCTCTGGACTTCCGGAGAAATTAAGAATTGCCTGCCAAACTGGGCTACTGCAATCAGTTTTTATTTCTTCCCTTCCTTCTCTCTTTTCATCTTAAAGAAAACAAAAAAAAGAAATCCCCAAAACCCAACGACCAGTTAGTGTACACTTTAGATCCAGATGTATTACTCACAGGATGGACTTAAGGTGGCTCCTATCATCTGTCCTCTTTACACGTACTGCAGCGGGCATGCTAGTGTCATTGCATCTTCCAAGACCTGTTTTCTTCTTCTTACTGTGAAATAGTTTGCCCACTCATCTCATGAAACTCAGATACTGAAAATCTTTGGGATTATCTTAATCCTTTCATTAGGACACAGAAGTCTGGGCTGAGATGGTAACATATGACTGGCTGCCTCTGGATCCTCTCTTTCTGAATGGTGAATATAGGCACATCACAGATGTTGTCTTGACTAGGAAACACTATCAGAGTTTTTAGGTTGAGTTTAGTTAACACTTGCTAGCTAAATCTGACCTAAACTTAGCCTGTTTCCCAATGCAAATGCATGGTACCACCCTGAAGTTCAATTTAGCTAGTTGAGTTGTTGCATAGGCTCCCATCCTGCTGTTTAAAAGTAGCTTTATTGAGAGTTTTTAGCTTCACATAACCTTCAGTCCTTGGGGTGATTTAGAAGTAGGCATTGCGAATCACAGCTACACAGAAACTCTGCCAATGTGACCAAAGTCTACCGCAGAAGAGGAGAAGATGTACAACGCATACTGCTCAGATTAAAGTCTAAATACGCTCTTTATTTATGAAGAACACTGCTAATCAGATTTTATGATAACTTTCATGGGCAAGGGAGGAGGAATAGTATTTCAGCTAGGACTCCAATGAAGTTAAAATCTCAGAATGCCTCAATACACCCAAGAAGTTAACAATCCCTGAGCTCCAGGTGAGAAGCTTTAGGCACCAGTGATCAGGATTAACCAAAAAACCCTGTTGCACCAGGATTACTAGAATCATAGAATATCAGGGTTGGAAGGGACCTCAGGAGGTCATCTAGTCCAACCCCCTGCTGGAAGGATCTATTGTTTGACTTCCACATCTAACTGAGGAGAATAGGAAAGCCATAGTCATCAAAGTGCTACTGGAATGACCACTGCCTTGTCTTTGTATATTTTCCTGGCCATTTTTCCTTTCCAAGGGAAGGTGGAAAAACTTCAAGGAGACTCTTGCGCTTACTTGTGGACGATTGTGAAATAAGCAGAATCTCTGAACTCTGCAAAAGGAGAGAGTGAACTAGCCCCCTGTAGGAGAAAACTATTCAATTGGCATCTGTAGCATATCTTCAGGATAAGATGCCATTTGCCTGTTGCTAGCATCTATTGAAATTAGACATGCTGCTACAAAAAAAGTCTCTTGTCTGGACAGTACCTGGGAAAATACCATTCTCTTTGGTTGCAGAGAACCAAGTTCATCTCTCAGGCCTTGCTATAGGTCTTTTCTATTTGTACTCTGTACTATCAGAGATGTACAAATAGAGGCCAGTCCCAAGAGCAAGAAGCCTCTGATACGAATGGAATCTGTCCTCAGCAATGCCCCCCATTCCACATGGCAAAATTCCTGGGGGGGAGAGGGAAATGAAGAAAACTGTATTGCACAAGGAAAAGAATCCTTTGGAAAAGGATCTCTGACAAAGAGCAGAAGTTGTATCTTCTCCTCTCCATGTAGGTGAGAAAATGGGGAGAGTTTGGTCACCTGAGTAAATGTCAGCAAGAAGAGTTCTGATTGAAAAAAATAAAATAAAAAGGAAGAACTCTGCCTTGTTACCAGCTCTTGTGATTTTATTGCAACTCACACAATATTTGGTGTTTTTCTCTCAAGAGGCTGCATGATAATCTCAGTTTTCACTGAAAAAAACCCAATGGTTTACCTGTAATGGTTGCAGAGAAAAGCTTGAAAATGAGAAGCAAGTGTATCCTAAAGGCCCCAAAGTCAGAAGACACATAAAAAGAGCCAATAGGTTAGTTCATTTGTTTTCTTAATTTCTGGATTTCTAAACTAATCTCATGATTTTGGGGGGCCTGACTCTTGATTTTGAATGCTTGAAGCTGACAATACTCACTTTACCTCCTTTCAGCTACATTAGACAGAAATATCCATGGCAATAGATCCAACATGGGACATGAAATTATAGCCCAGAATGACAGAATGGGTGGG